AGGACAAGGTAAAAAATTTCGGCGTTTTTTGACGCAGGCGGAGCTTTCGGTTCATTGGCGAGATCTAAAGCTCGGACATTTCAACAGTACCTCTATAGATACCTACAACATACAACAAAACATCGGAACTATTCGACCTTTCTGCATTCATGCCCCCCTTCGGCCCCTTCTGGGTTATGGTTTGACTGGATTATTATTCTGTTTATGATATCAACTGTATATTAATATCAACTAATTTCTCTAACATCTCTTTTGAAAAAAGGCTCATTCTCATTGAAGAGTCGGTCCTTTATAAAATATAAGACAAAGAAATTGTTAAGCATTCACTTAAACTGGAATTATAAATAATTTTCCCTATCGAGATAATTCTTCTTTACAATAAAATCATTCAATTGCCGATGAAAAAATGCTCACCAAATTTCAAATCGCTAGGTTTTGTTTCAACAGAGATAAAAAACACCCTGTATAATGAGAACAAGTTTCTCCACCACAAAACAAAAAAATACGTCTGTAATATTTTAATTTTTGCTACGACGAGTTAAACCTGAGACACCCTGATTATATATAGGTAGGTATCCATTTTTCCATGTTGATAATTTATCTGAGAATTTTCCTTTTTGATTCTTGCATCAGAATTCGTTTATACGTACCGATGCATAGATTTCGGAAGGATGTTATTGAATGTTCTGCGTCGAATTAGCCAGGAAAGTAGTTGTTTTTGTCTCCTCATCTACCATTGTTGTTTATTGTATGAACATTTGTGGAAATTACTTTGAGCTTTTTGTATTTATTCATCAGTATAATAGTAGTATTCAGCAAACTGATGGCCATTTAAGCAGTACACTATCTTGATGTGCCCACCCTGTGTCATTACCAATCAAACAACCAAAATTCTATCATGCCTAATTTCTACAGGCGGTATTATCATTCGTACCACTACTATATGTATCTTTAAACCGCGAGATGTCTCTCGTATTCAAATTTCTTGCGTTAATTCTTGTGATTTTCATTATCCTCGTACTCCCTGTACAATGTAACCATTTTCGATAAGACAAAAGCTTCGCTATAACCTAGGTTTATATTGAGATGCTGAAGAATATTTTCATGAAACTAATCAGGAAGAGATTGAATTATTACTTGAAATTATTTCGCTATATTCGAGCCTTTTGCTATCCTTGAAATAATAACTCACCTAGCAAAGCAAACACTGTAATCAACCATTTTCCGTGAGTACTGCATACTTGTTGCCAAAATTCAGGCGAAAATGTGAAATATGACATGCCCCTCATTGTTCTATGCGAAATGAATGCGTTGTCTTGCTACCAATATAAAGATAGCGCGTTAGTAGTGGACAAAAACGAGGCGAGCTGAGGTGTACTGTATAAAGAACATTAGGCTTTCCTGGGTTCTAAACAACTCTCCCACTGAAATCAAGCTCTATCGATAGGAAAAAAATCCCCCAACATCCACAAATGGCTGGCGATCGTGCTGGACGCCCACCACGGTCAGCTGGGCCTCGAGCAGCGCGTGAAGGCCTCTTCTGCCGTGCGTGACCATTTGGCGCGCGCCTGCGAGCTGGACCCGAGAGACTTTGCCGCGCACTACATGCTGGGCAAATGGCACTTCCAGATGGGCAGACTCACATGGGTGCAGCGGACCATCGCCAAGTACTTTATCGCCGCTGAGCCGCCGAGGACCACGCACAAACAGGCTTACAAGTAATAGCTCAGTATAACGGTAATGATGAAAATCCTTTCGTGTAACAAAATCAAGTAGTCGGTTGTGTTGTCCCAATTAAAGTAAACAATATATTTCTATTCAAAACGTTTACTTCTTGAATTCTCCAGACATACAAAATTTTCAGGGGGGATTCTAGGCAATTGACTGCTACTTCCTATTCAAATAATAGGTACATTGGTCAAAAGGTACTCACAGTACATACTCCAATAAACAACAATACAAACCACCACCACATCGAACTACGTTATTACTTTTTATCAAAAATCAAATAAGTACAGTACAGTTATTACAGTTTCAGGTTTCAGCCACCGGCTTCTAACTGACTAACTCTAACCACTAACCTCACTTAATTCCATCCAAAGCGCGCGAGAATTCCCCGTCACTTGCCACTTGTCACCAATACCCATCTCACTCTTACCCAAAATACACCACGTGAACAAAACATAGTAACTAGCAAATATAAGCAATCCAACAAAAGTTAGGGTGACCAAAACAAACACATCACACGGTTTCTTTACGCTTCCATCATAGATTATCTATACTAATATAGTAAAGAGGAAACATTTGTTTGTTTGTATATTGAATAGGTTCCGAAACTACTGGACCGATTTGGTTGAACATTGGTGGGGCGGTAGCTTTTAGAACCAGGAGCCGGATACTTTTTATCCCGGTCGGATTAATTCCACTGTCAAACTGTCACTCTTTGTAATTATGCAACAAGTTATCGATGTACGACCCGAATATTTTGAAGTACTTATAGCATTTAATACTGATAATACTAACGATGTGATGCGGGAAACGCAAACAAGTTTCCTCAAACATGATGTGATATACCGGGTGACACAGGTTATCGGGCCACCCCTGTAACTTCTGCATTCGTCAATGGATTTTTCTGAAATTCGGTACAGTTATATAAGCAACTATTTCGGATTTGATCACATTACAATCCAATATGGCGGACTTCCGGTTTTTCTGGAAATGCCAGAAATTTTGTTTTTTCAAATGGAACACCCTGTATATTTTTACATATTCAAGTTCAACAGGTCAAAATAAGTGCAATCTTGATGTCAAATTTCATTTATTCCACAGCCTACCTAGTTGAAAAACTATTCTAACTGCAAGGAAATTCATAAACTAGTTGTTGATTTTTGAATGTATACAATTTGTTACTGCACTGCAAAACAAAAATGATATGTCATTTTGTTCCTTAATGTATGCTCGGGTGGCACATAGGGTTTCCATTTGAAAAAAAAAATAATTTTTGATCAAAAAGTGATGTGGCTGAATTGATTCCTGGATAAGTGACAAAAAAAATAATTTATCAGAAAAAATTATGTTCTTCTGTTATGTGTGACTCATTGTAAATAGTCTTGACCACATCTCATTTATCCAGGAGGTAAAATGAAAAAACGATGTTAATTTAATTTTTTTCGAAAAAATGACATTTGAAATTGAGATTGCACTTGTTTCGACCTGTTGAACTTGAATATGTAAAAATATACAGGGTGTTTCATTTGAAAAAACAAAGTTGCTGGCATTTCCAGAAATACCGGAAGTCCGCCATATTGGATTGTAATGTGATCAAATCCGAAATAATTGCTTATATAACTGTACCGAATTTCAGAAAAATCCGATGACGAAAGCAGAAGTTACAGGGGTGGCCCGATAACCTGTGTCACCCGGTATAATAATAATAAATAATATATACTAATGACCTCTGATGACATCTGATAATATGCTTCAAAGAACGATGAAATCTCACTTCAAGACTATATCGTATATGAATTTTATTCAAGATTTTCCTGCTTCCATACTGAAATTTCATAAATTCATAAATTCAAACAGAATCCATTTTTCAAGTAAGAAAACAAAACATACAGTTTCGTCATATATTCGATAGACAATTTTAGGTTATCTATCCAAGTAAAACTTTTCCTGACGGAACATTTCCAAATTGGAACAAATGTCGTGTATATGGAATTTTACTTTTTGAATAAGATAATGATAACAAAGAGAGAAACCCCAGGTCACTACAATAGTTCATGAAATGAACGAAAATGGTAGATAACGAGAGAACAACAACTATACTCTCCTTGCTATTTTCCACGCAGAACATTGGATTACATCCACCCGAAATCTATGCAATAATTCGTATAGACGAATAAAATCGCAAGAGTTTCCTTTCTAAACGCCGAGCTGCGCCTAAGTGGTTCACTGCCGTGCTAAGCGCAAAAGCGGTAACTGTAATTTCTAAGGAAATTGAGATGTTAGCTCCACATAAATGTATGACTCGAAATCTGTCTAAAACTAGAGTTTCATAGCGGTAAATACCTTTTTTCTATTTTTATTTTGAATTTTAAATAGCGTTTGTCAAATACGCCTTATATACTTAAGTTTTGATGATGCATTTTCCGCGCAAACGGCTCAGTAACATCAAGGATGAACATCGCTGAAGTGTTTGTCGTATTTCCTCAATAACTGTATTAGTAGCAGTTATATTGATTGAGAAAGTCATTGTTTCGTAACAAGTGGAAAAAGGTAATTATTATAGACTGAAACTCATCGCCTTTGTGGTTAAACTATATTATTTCACAGAATAATGACTTCCGATCGAACCAAAAGAATTTTAGAACGTGCAAAACTTGTGTATGAAGAATCCACGAAGAACTATTATTCCGATCAAGACAATGGAAATATTAGTACAATATGAGATATTGGAGTTGATATTGATGACATCCCTATATATATGAATCAACCGCAAGGCTCCTAATCCATCAATTTCAGTAGGAGTTTTATAGTCAACTACTACTAATGTAAAAACTTCACAAACGATGAGATTTCCACAATATTCTTAAACACGATATGTGTCGCTCGTAAGGGTATAAATGCTGAGATGCATTTACGTTGGGTCAGGTTCGCACCAGATAGCGGTCAAGAAGCTATCTGGGACAGCCCTGCACTGATGAGAGTCAACAGCTCGAAACCGGTCTGCAGGTAGTCAAGCGTTCCTGAACCACTTAAGCGCAGCTCAGCGTTTTCGAAGGAAATAACACTTGCGATTTTAGTCGACTATATGAATTATTGCATAATATTTTTGGGAGGATGCAATCCAATGTTCTGCATGGCATATAGCCAGGAGAGTAGTTATATTCTCTCGTTATCTACCATTTTCGTTCATTTTATGAACTATTGTGGGAATGATTTGAAGTTTCTCTCTTTCTGACCATTACATTCGACTTTGAGTATTTGGCTTTTTCCTAGTTGGAAATGATAAATGAATGTTCTCAGATATTTATCGAAGGCCGAAGATCTGCAACCTCGAACCTTCTTGCCAAACTTGTACCTCCTGGGAAAAACCTGCATCGAGATGGGACAATACTACAAAGCGAAATACTACCTTCACCTGGCGATGAACCTACCTCCTAAAGACGATTGTGACAACTGTTGCGTTTGGATGGCCCGACAGCTCGTCATGAAATTGGATAGATACGATTTGGGGAAAAATGTTTTGTATTACGACCCTTTGGGTTTTATAGATTGACGATCATGAATGAATTAAAGCAAATGAATTTTATAGAAACGCTAGAGTGATGGGTTATTTGATTTTCCAGTAGTACCTATCTAGTTCCAATGGATAGGGTCACTGGAATTAAAGCCTCATATATCATTGGGATGAGAGTATTAAATATCCCCTCGGTTCCTTGCAGGAGAGAAAATGATATATTATGACCTTCCACTCAGTTTGGTTTCGCCTCCGTGACGGGTTTTTCAAATTCCCTTATGATAATAACTTGTATATTTCATATTCACAATATTCATTGGAGAAAAATTCACAATTTCAAATAATTTATATATTGCCATCGCTATCGCCACTTGTTGAATTCTACTGTAGTTATATAGAATTCATAATAATCATAAAATAGGAAGAACTCATCATCTGAAGGAATATTACATGTTTAATATTTCTTCAAGACAAATTCAATATAGACGTAATTATCAGTTGAATAATATTGGGCTTGCAGATGAAAAAACAAATATTCTACCATAACGGTATATATATATATATGGAATGTGAACATTTTCAAAAAACCCAGATGATTAGTTGCATATGTTATTCAATACTACTCACGTTTCACCCTCACCTAGGATTGTATTTCTTCCATGAGGATTTTTTTTTCAATGATCGAAGCAATAATTATTTGAATGTTGAAGTTGGAAAATATATATATTTTTTAATTTGAAAGTTATGTTTATTTTCATTTTTGAAACCATATTACATTGTTTTTTCTTGGTCGTTCACCCTTACTGCAATCTCTACCTTCTCTACCTGCAATGAATGAAAAAAAAAATCGAGGCTTAGAACGCTGATCTCTGTACTCGTGTAGAGTAACGAAGCGGTCTCGAAAACATGTTTATAGGGAAAAAAGTCTATTCTGAACTGAAACATGAGCCCCTGACTTTTGAAACATCCTGTATATTAGGTTGAGATAGTTAAGATTCTTGGAGAAAGAATATTTCATTTTTTTTGTATATTCGATATTCACAGAGGAATTTTTAAAAATACCGCCACGGCAACAGAGAAGCAAAACTGAGAAAGAGGTAATTATTATATGTCTCTCTTCCTCCCGCGGCGAACCGGGGGAATATTCAATACTCGCCATTGGGATCTCGCAAACCCTGAGAGATACAGGGTCAGTTGAATTATGGCAAAGTTGCGCAATTTCATGGCTTACAAAATGCCGTTTTGTAACTTGTATAATTTCGGATATCTATCTACTTTCGGAGGTACTTTTGCTACTTGTTTCAAGTCTGTGTGCTGAAGCCTTTGAAAATGGTGAAGAGTGAAAAAAATATATACAGGGTGTTTCATTGGGAAAGGTAAATAATTCAACTGTGGATAGGGGTCACTGAGGTGATTTCAAAAAACCCATGGTTGATGGGTCTTCGACTTCTTATAACCGAGATACAGGATGTTTAATCAATTTTGTCCATATCTTCATTGTCTCATAACTTTCCAACCAACCTGTATTTATTTTTGAAAATTGGTACACTTGCTCAACCTACCCTGTGGAATTGATTGAGGCAACAACAAAAGATAAAATCCAGGTCCGGCTTCACTTGAAATCCACAAATTCTTTCTGCCAGAAAACAACACCCTATACATTCGAATTTCTCATTTTTTTTGCCATATCTGAAAAGAACATAAAAATTTCTATTCAACGATGTGCTTTTTATTCGTGCACAGACGATTTTAACTATTCATATTATGTGCTCAAAATATTATTTTTGCTCATTTTGGGTTACAAAATTGGAATCAGACGAGATTTATCAATTTTTTTACTTCCTATTCAGTATACGTGAGTATTACATTTAGAAGGAGTATTTCATATCGTTCTTTGTTCCAGTCTTAGTTGCAGGTCCGTCATCAAAACTATACAGGGCTTTTCACGATGAGCGTTAATTAGATGTTTCTGGCAAACCAGGCAACGGATAAATCTAAAAATTCGAAGGTATGTATAAATTAACATGATCTACACGTCTGAAATATTTGAAACAATCCAGCGTTGCCGCTTCTACTCGAAAGTAGCAGTAACTTTGATTTTTCAAATGGGACACCCTGGATGCTTCCTGAATCGATTCACAAAGTTCGGGGTCTAGTGGGACTAATAACTGAGATATTAAGAGTGAGAAAAATCGAGATGTTTCAACTTTAGAATTATTTTACGAAAATATTTATTATTGATCAAAACGGCTTTTATGTCCCTATCTTAACTTTGTATCTATTGACATTCAATCGAATCGAAACAAATACAGGATGGTTCATAATTCAGATTTCTGCACCACCCTGTATCTGTTTCAATTGGATATCGAATAGAAAGTTGAGATAGGGACATTGAAGCCGTTATGACCATGCAATAATAAATAGTGTCAACACAAATCATTTCTAAAGTTGAAACATCTCAATTTTTCTCACTATAAATATCTCAGTTATTAGTCCCACTAGACCCCGAACTTTGTGCATCGATTAAATCAGCTCTTCAGGAAGCATCCAGGGTGTCCCATTTGAAAAATCAAAGTTACTGCTACTTTCGAGTAGAAGCGGCAACGCCGGATTGTTTCAAATATTTCAGTAGTGCAGATTATGTTAATTTATACATACCATCGAAATTTCAGATTTATCCGTTGCCTGGTTTGCCAGAAACATCTAATTAACGCTCATCGTGAAAAGCCCTGATGTATAGTTTTGATGACGGACCTGCAACTAAGTCTGGAACAAAAAACGATATGAAATACTCCTTCTAAATGTAATACTCACGTATACTAAATAGGAAGTAACAAAATTAATAACAAAAATCATCTAATTAACGCTCATCGTGAAAAGCCCTGTATAGTTTCGATGACGGACCTGCAACTAAGTCTGGAACATAGAACGATATGAAATACTCCTTCTAAATGTAATACTCACGAATACTGAATAGGAAGTGATAAAATTAATAAATCTCGTCTGATTCCAATTTTGTACCCCAAAATGAGCAAAAATAATATTTTGAGCACATAATATGGATAGTTAAAATCGTCTGTGCACGAATAAAAAGTACATCGTTGGATAGAAATTTTGATGTGTTTTTCAGATATGGCAAAAAAAATGAGAAATTCGAATGTATAGGGTGTTGTTTTCTGGCAGAAAGAATTTGTGAATTTTAAGTGAAGCCGGACCTGGATTTCATCTTTTGTTGTTGCCTCAATCAATTCCACAGGGTAGATTGAGCAAGTGTACCAATTTTTAAAAATAAATACAGGTTGGTTGGAAAGTTATGAGACAATGAAGATATGGACAAAACTGATTAAACATCCTGTATCTCGGTTATAAGAAGTCGAAGACCCATCAACCATGGTTTTTTTCAAATCACCTTAGTGACCCCTATCCACAGTTGAATTATTTACCTTTCCCAATGAAACACCCTGTATAGTAGGATAAAACCCATTGGGAAAGAGAATATTACAAAAATGGAAGGAAATAGTGTATTTTACTACGGGGCTGGAAAAATCATTTCTGGACGAGTAATGAACGATTTTTTTTATTACACTTGAAAATGAAAATATAATCATAATAAATATATTTGATAGCAGAGCTTGATTATTCACAGTATGAGGAACACAATCGACAGTATAAAAATCTCTGATTTATTATTTTATATAACAAGTGAACTACTATCAATAATATATACTGGGAGTTATATAAAGGTATAAGAAAGTATCACAGGACTACTCTTCTAACACCCCCACTTCATGTGATATTACTCCCATCCTTTCGGAACAAATCTTCAATTTCTCATGAGTAACAGCTTTTGTCAGTACATCTGCGACCATATCAGCCGTTGGAATAGGTTTCACTTCAATATCACCATGTTCTTGCTTTTCTCGTACAAAGTGATGCTTGATATCAATGTGCTTACTTCTCGCTCTAAAACCTTCATTCTTGCTCAGGTCTACAGTTCCTTTATTATCGCAATATATTGTCATCTTCTTGGATATTTTAGCTATCCCAATCTCTGATTGTAAATTATTGAGAAATATTCCTTCTTGGGCAGCGAAGCTCAAAGCCATATATTCCGCTTCGGTTGTTGACAACGCAACAGTTACTTGTTTCTTCGACGACCAGCTAACTGCTCCTCCACTTGATATAAATACGTATCCTGATGTGGACCGTCTGTCGTCTAGGTCACCAGCCCAGTCAGAATCACAGAAGCCATGTATATCGCCATCAGATTTTCTGAATACCAGTTTGTGCTTGGTTTTTCTCCTCAAATATCTGAATATTCGTTTTACAGCCATCCAGTGCATTTTTGACGGACTGTTACTGAATCTGGATAATTTTCCAACGGCGAATGCTATATCAGGTCGGGTGCATTGTGCAGCATACATAATACTCCCGATTGCTTGTTGATACGGTACATCTTCTGCAAGATTCTCCCCTTCAGTATTACACATCAACTTCTGATTTGGATCCAGAGGTGTCTGTATGCCATTGCAGTTTGTCATTTGAAATCTGGATAGCACCTCTTCTATACAGGGTGTTTCATAATTGAATGTCAATATTCGAGGAGGCGATTCTTGGGCTCATTCTAAGAAGAAAGTTTCATATGAACGTATGACCTAAACGTCCCAACTTTGGAGATACAGGGTGGTAAAATTCTCGAAAATTAATATAGCCTACTACAATGAGAAGTTATAATTCGAAAATACCAAATACGAATACAAAGTTCATGAACTATGAATTGTATTTCTGAAATTTGATCTTAAAAATAAAAACTATTTCTCTGCATTGTGATATTATCATATTAACAATATTACTATAATCATGTAGTGAAAAGCTTTTTATTTTTAAGCGAAAACCGTGCATCAGATTGAAAAAATTGTAGTGATCAAATTTGCTTAGAAATGATCGGGAATTTCAGGAATGATTTCAATTTGGAGATTAATCAGTGGCGTACCATCAATGTCTGCCAAAATAGGTATGTGAAATTCCATACGAACGCCACTGGTGGCAACAACAAAAAATGTGGTACGCTAACTGATGCCTCTTGATAC